GCTGCTTCAACACTAACTGCGGTTACTGAAACCACACCGCCTTTCTTTGCGTGAACATTTGGGCGGCATTATGCTAATAATTCCACATAGTGAGGTAGATATGTGGGGGCGTGTTAGAACGAGCCGTTTTAGGGGGGCGTGGCAGAGTCTTATCTTTGATAAAGAATATCTCTTTGGTTTTGAGACTTTAGTCTTTGCAACTTCAGGGATCTTATCTATGCACAATCAGCTTGTAACACTCCGAAGAGAAAGGACAACTTGAAATCGCATCATATGACAATTTTTGTTGCGTGGCTCGTTGGTCTAGGGGTATGATTCTCGCTTAGGGTGCGAGAGGTCCCGGGTTCAAATCCCGGACGAGCCCAATTTTTTTTCCTCTCTCACTCTTTACAAAATGGTGGATTAGTTAACACAACAATGTTCTACAATTTTAATTATTTATTTAAATGTAGATTGTAATGAAGGTAAAAATCCACCGACTTCTGTCGCAATACTTCACCATGAATCAGTGTGCACAGTGGTAGCGTTTACTGAACGGCGTCACAGTCAGTTGTAAGTAACGGCCTGTACCCCACCAAAATGGTATGATCATATGGTCATATGATTACACTGATAAAACACGTGGGGACAAAAACAGTTCAGACATGACCCCGACGTGATTTGAACACGCAACCTTCTGATCTGGAGTCAGACGCGCTACCGTTGCGCCACGAGGTCTCACGAGTCACAAGGGGAAAATAACAGCGTTTTAAAATTATTATTACGGTACATATAATGAAATTGAAATAATTTGTAGAAAAACAGACAAGACCTTCAAATGTCAAACGAACCATTTACATACTAATCCAAACCGCAAATTTATGTTATCCAGTTCGGCATGCATTTGAACAAAGGAGTATTAAATTGCCATTATTTCCGATTATCTATTATCTCGCACACAATGTTCTTATGTATACATACGAAAATACTATAAAATAATTATTTTATAGAACCGTTTTCCATGCTATCTAAAAGTACTTCAGACTTGCGAACAAGCTACCCTTACATGGCTCGTTGGTCTAGGGGTATGATTCTCGCTTTGGGTGCGAGAGGTCCCGGGTTCAAATCCCGGACGAGCCCTATTTTTGCTTGTTTTTCAAATGAAAATGTGCTGATGATTGAGCTGACGATTGAGGCAAACGAAGCCCACCGCATCAGACCTCATTCGTTCTGACAGTGTATCAAACAAGGCAGAGCAGGATGCGCGAGTCTGGTTGAATATTGAAGGCTGAAGCTCTATAACTATTTTCTAGTATCGAACAATAATAAGATAACATACATCTTATAATTTAAAGAACCAGAACATGCAAATAACTCTAAATGTGTATTTAACGGCAATTCCAGTGGTGGACAGTAACGAAGTAGTTTAACTTCGTTACTGTACTTAAGTACATTTTTCAAGTATCTGTACTTTACTGGAGTAGTTTTATTTTTAGTAACTTTTACTTCACTACATTCCAAAGCATAAGATCGTACTTTTTACTTCACTACATTTCATAAAACTTATCGTTACTCATAATATATCACGCGCTCCGAGACGCAGAAGCGGTGTCTGATTCATGAACGAACTGATTCTTTTCAATGAACCCGTTAAATCGGTTCGCAAATCGCACCAAACGATTCATTCACGAATTGGAATGATCCGATTGCAGCTGTTCTCGAGTCGACAACTCACTGATTCAAATGAACCGTTTAGTGGAAGTCTCCAGTGAACTGAATTCACAAGTAACAACCGGGAGATGTTGTGAGCGCGCGCGGATAGATATTCAAGGGACTCTTAGCAAAAATGAGGTTAAAGGGAAAATTCAAGAATTCATAAACAAAAATGGCAAGAAGTATGGAACTGTGATAGCAAGGGCAGACAAATGTATAATATTCAGCAGCAAGTAGGAAATGGAAGAAGTGTCTTTAGTTTTGTACTTTCACTCGAGTAAGATTGAAAACTGAGTACTTTTGCTGGAGTAATATTTTATAATACGGATCTGTATTTTTACTCAAGTACTTGATTTGTGTACTTCGTCCATCACTGGGCAATTCACACTATTTGCAACACCTCAGCCAAAACAGATATTGGCCAGTACGGGGATCGAACCCGCGACCTTGGCGTTATTAGCACCACGCTCTAACCAACTGAGCTAACCGGCCTTTGAATCGCGTTCAAAAATGTCAGTTCAAAAACTGGGATATATCTGCCCATTTAAATCGCTTTATCGCATAAATATTAACACTATTCATCTTAATTGGTCATTTTCTGCAAACTGATGAATACAACAGAAAATGTTAGTAACCGAACCATAAACGCCTTTTCTTAATAGGAATCATTTTCTATCTTTAAACGGAGGCAATACTAATGTTTCTCCAGCAGATGTGAGTTGTAAATCAAGTCTCAAATGTGATTTAGACGAATTCATTTTTAATGCACTTACACATCTGTTACATTCTCTTACCGCAAGATGTCAGTAGAGCCACTCACCTGAACTATTTCTCAGTACAATGCTTTAGTATAAAGCGAAAATGTTTTTCTTTTCATTTGAAGTTAGGCATCTGACTTAAATATTCAGTGCAATTATAACTTTGCATTTATAATTTTTACAGATTAGAATATATTAAAAGATATTTCCTTTTGGTTTATTGCATAACCTAATGAAAAATCATGCGAGATTTAGACTTATCTCCGTCTAACAATATTCAAAATTCCTTATCATACAGTGATAAGAAGTTATTATAACGTCACCCAGCATGTTATTACTAGCTGTAACACTTGCTTAGTGTCTCTATGAGAAATCAATCATATCTTTCCATCTAAAATAGTTTTGTATATAAGCTTCTCTGCTTATCTGGATTTAACCAAAGTGGATTCTACTCACGTGACCTGCAAAGTTGACTAGATATGTATCTGCAGTACATATCACTTTCATCTTTATCTGCAAGAGAGCATCTCGTTTAAGCAATACCGTAGGAACTTTTATTTTAGTTCTATAAAATATAAATTTCTATAGTTTATTAAAGAAATGTCTGGAATTCCAGGGATTTCCAATACACTGTAAGTGAAAGTGTACTGTAAGTATATACTGTCACATGGTCTCAGTCACATGCTCACGTTTCAAGAGATCATGTTTTTGAGAGTAAAAGATGTCTGTGAAGAGCTGGAAATGAGGAAGTGGCCTGGTGTTGTCTGTTCTGCAGCTGCAAAGCCTGAGCTTCAGGAAGCAGCTTGTTGGGTGAAACTACCAAGAAATCGGTTTGTAGTCTGCTGTTAAATTCAACATTGCATTCTCCGTCATATTGTGAACAATTAATAAATCTTCATATTCATTCATATTCAACTTGCTCTAACTACATAACTACACTAAAGCTTTTGAAATAATTTACCTTTTTGGCTGCCATCACAAAGTGCCTGGTCACAGAGACCCTTTTCATCATTCAAGTAATTCCTGATGGATAAAGTCAAGTTTTACCCTACATTCTTCCCCCTCATTGAATATCAATACGTCACATTAGAGACATAAAAAAAACAACGCAAAAAAGGAAGGTCAAAACTTAAACTGAGCAGAAATGAACAGATTTCTTACAGAAAGTGGGTGTTTGTCATTTATTAGATGAGTTGAGACGGGGATGACAAGCTCTCAACATTCAAATTTATTTTCATTAGCAATAAATTATCTTTTTACAAAATGAAATGGAACAATTATTTGGCAACAACTCTTTACCACTTTGAACATGAGAGGTGTTCATATGAACATGCACACAACTATAAAAACACCTACTCCAGCCGAGCAGCAAGACTAGTCTCTCAGGAAAATTACATTCTCTCTTTGAAAGATTGTTAAACCGTGTCTAACCAGATGCAACATAATAAAGTGACAAAAGCATCTATTTCTCTGTAAATAGATATTTTTGACCTAACTAGCTATGAGATGTCAGCGACCACAAAATTTACTGCTAATGTTACAACTTAATAATTTTGAAAAGGTCCTGTTCACACATGATCTCTTAACGGTAATTTACCGGTTATTTACCAGTAAAGACTGTATGTGTGAAAGGGGCAATTGATAATATGTATCCAAATCCAAATGTAATAAAAATTTATTTTTGAGTGATGAAAAATTCTTAGCAATTAGGGATTAACAAACCTGTTTATATATGTTTTATATAGGGCTATACAGGCATCCAGTGGTATTACAGATGATTAATAGTGCAAAATTTATATCTTAACAGTCAATTTACAAATAATGCGTTCAGATTTGTGGAACTCACAATGTGCGGAATCACCACACATTAGTGTCGTTACTATGACAACCAATGTGAATGTGACAAGAAACTGCAGTCTGAAAATAAATTATATATAATTTAGAAGTGTATTAATGTTGATATTTAAGATTTGAGTGTTTACAAAATCAGTTTGTTATGTAATCTTTTAAACGATCTTGATTATAGGGATTTCTCCTGGGCGTCAAAATGGCTAGAAATGGCCCTGAATAAGCCACAACACTGAGCATTTTTACTTTGAGTATGGACAAATGGCTTGATGCTGGAAAGTTACCATGTTGCATCTGGTTAGGACACAGATGTTGGACTGCTTTAACAACATTACTCTCTTGTGTGTAGTGTTTTGTGTAGGAAAACATTGTTTAATGTTCATGCAGCACGTGCAAAAAACACCTCAGTGTTATTCATCTGCAGTTTTTACCTTCATGTTCCCAAAAAAAATTGCATTCAAAATGCCTGATCTGTGCATTTGATTAACTTTGTTCTTTTTCTCTCTCTTATTTTCGTTTTGTTCTTCAAGTGGATGCGAGGAGAATGAGCTCCATACGGTACAGTACATCCTCTTTGTCCTCAGAGTTTAGTTTAAAAACACAAACCTGTATTGTCAGTAAGGTGTGACCATGCACATTAATACATTCCTTTTCCAGAGAAGCATGTCCTGACGTAGCATTTGTTGTCCTTCACCTCGTTTGCGCCTGCGTCAGAAAAGTGGTCCCCGTGTGTGATTGCGGAAGTTGAAATCCTTCATGCTAACATCGTGTTAGGACTGTATGGAAGCAGCGATTCAAAAACATTAGTGCTTATAGTGCAAGAGCTGTTCCATGACCCTGTCGAGTCCTCAGTGTGACGCCGGACATGTATTCAATAAAACACTGGACACAGAATGACAATTGGTCCGCCGCGACCTCTAGGGGGCGCTGCTTCCGGGTTACCGGGTCAGGAATTAGGTGAACGAATGGTTGTGGTGGTTATGCAATGTCGTTTCTTGTTCTTTATCTACAGGTCGGTCCAGGTGGGAGTGTACTGCGGACTTTTGGCAGGGCGGCGCCCCCTGGAGGCGGCTCTGGCCCCCTGCGCTCCTTCCTGAGCCTGCTGGATCCTCTGACACTCTTTAAGGTTCTGAGCCCGAACTTCTGCGCTCATGATCCTCTCCACCACGCGGATGGGGAACCAGCCTCGCTCGCCGTCATGCAACCTTTCACCCAACATCCAGCCTGAGGGCGAGAGATGAATATGACATGAAAGTTCAGAGAGAAGAAAAACAGGAAGGACATGTCACAAAAATAGTAAAACAGAACAGACCAAAGGAAGCAACATAGTAGGGTTGTGACGGTGAGGAAATTTTCCCACCGGTTAATCGACGTGTGATAACACCGGTAATACCGGTATCACCGTGGGGGCGGGGGCGTTCCCTCTTTTCCTGCTTTCCTTCGCTTTTAAGTAGCTTGTAAAAGCGGCGTGCGCATTTTACTTTCACTTTGAAATAGCGGCAATTCGGAGTAAAGCAATTGTTCGTTTTTAGTTCGTTTGAATTTTCCCTATTTTCCTCGCTTTCCTTCGCTTTGAAATAGCTTAAAAGCGCCGTGCATTTTACTTTCACTTTCGAATTAGCGGCAGTTCGGCGTCAATTGCTTGAATGCAACAACAAAATACAACGTCAAACTCACTTTAGCCTATATATAAAACAGAACTTTTATTAACAAAACACAAATAAAAATACACCATGCTATAGGGCAGGCTATGCCTAATATAAAATAACAAATAACTTACATAAAGTTTAAATAGGTATACAAAAACCGGAAATAGGCTAAGTAAACATGTATAATATATAACCAAATAAATAAGAAACGTAGGACGTTTATTAGCAAAACGAGTAAGAAAGCTTGGAGGCACGGCATACACCTTGATGTCAAATAAAATAAATAAATGACACAGTTTAAATAAAGTAAAAATCAGCAAACAATGTGGAACCAATTAAATAAGAAACAAATGTTTAAAAAAAAAATCTAAAATCACCTTAGATAAACGGCAAAAGTCAACAGGCTTTTCAAAATCCAAAATATTGCCAAACAGGTGCTTTTGCATTTCGTTTCGAAACTAAATCATCCGCGATCGTCTTGTCTGTCTCACCTCACTCTTCTTGTCAGTCAGCTCACTGGAGAAATGAAACCTGATCCGTGATGCGACTGTTGTTCGGCACGCTGCATTGAGCAGCCGCGTTCAGTTTTTAATTGTAGTGTCTGTTCTTTTACTGAACTAAATGATTTTTATTACTATAAAAAATCAAAACGACGGTGGGGGTCGGTGCCGCGGTGGGCAAGTGACACAACCAGTGTTGCGGCTTAACCGGTCACCGGTATCACCTTCAGCACCGTCTATCGCGGCAAGCCTAAAACATAGCGAGAGAGACAAGTTCATGCAAATGACAGCAGATGATGCAGAAATGAAAGACAAAGACCGGGTCTAGCCAAAAACAGCAAAGTCTGATAAAGTTGCATGGCTTATTGCAAGTCTTTTATTTAAGGTAAACACTGACTGATTTTTAAGGACGTCTAGTGTTTGTGATCTCTTACCATCATCTGTGCACTCCAGAATGTGCAGCACATCAGCCATTTCTACAGAGAGCTCATCAGGTTCCTGAGAGGAGTAGGACTGGATGCACTGAACCTGTGCAGAATCTGACATGCACCAGAAAAACAATAAATCATACTGCATACAGATACAGATACAATGAAACACACTAATTCAACTCATGAAAATAAAATAAAATAATTTTTTCTTATTTAATATTATTATAAATAAGATTATATTAATTATTTTATATTGTTATAAATAAAATAAACAAATGCTATATTATTTACTGCATAATATTAGGAAAAAAAAATATATTTATATTATTTATTTTACTTTAAAATAAAATGTTAAAATAGCCTTTTATGTCACTTATTTACTAGGACAGGGAGAAATAGGACAGTAAAAGATGATAAATAGAGAAGGAACAGGACTGAGAAATTAGATTTTGGGCCAATTACAGAGCTAACTAGTATGATGACAGAAATAGAAACTTTCTAATTATGACAAATAGAGATGGGATTTATCTTGTCTGATTCAGACACCAGATATACCCACATTTAGCAGCTTGAGCTTTTATCCAAACCAATGTGCATTCAAGCTACAGCTATATGTTTCTTTATAATCAAATGCATAGCGCTGTGCTACATAGGGTGTGCATGCATATATGATGTACCTGGTTGGTGAGTGCTGGTTGAGAGGAATCTCGTACGTCGGTTTGGAGTCAAAGCATATATCCAGCGCAGTTTATCACTTCTGTAAACATTCAGAGCACCATTAGTGCACAAAGCAAATATATACTGCAATCTCTGTGATAATGGCTTAGGACTGCATTCTCACATGCTTTCAGACTTGAGCATGTAGCTGACTTCTCTGTCCTCCTGGTTCTCCAGCAGTTTCAGCACAAACGCACAGGCCAGCATCTGACCCTGATCCTCCAGGTCTTCAGTCCTCAGCATGGAGCGACTGCAAGAGTCCAGAACCTGGTACTTCTCTCCACTGAAACACACATACAAAAAACATACAATAAAAAATTTTGCAAAAACAAACATAATACCTAAAAAAAAAAATCATGCTTATAGGAGTGTTAGACTAATAACAGTCAAGTACATTTTTCTGACAATATTCAGCAATTTTGAGTGATTTCAGCATTCATATTTCAACAATCAATATCAGCAAACCATTAACGGACAATAAACTATTTCTATTTTTTTGTCATTTTTAAATAATATTTTTTATAACGCTAACCGTATTAGTGTCCACACCAACAGACAAATTCATTCTGCTCAACATAAGCTGAAATGAAACACTAATTTAGCTCATGACAGATTGAAACAAAACAAAACCAAATAAAATAACAAAAAAAAAACCATTTATTAAAATTTTTTTTAATAATAATTAATTAAAATTGTATATTATATAATTTATACAATTATATAATGTTATAAACAATATTATTGTATTATTAGACTTTATTTTAATATTATAAATAATATATATATATATATATATATATATATATGTACGTACATAATTATAATGATTTAATCTATTTTAAATATATAATTAAATATTTTTCATATTATTTATTATTAAATTACTTAATGTTTAATATTATAAATAAATATTATATTTTTATATTTTACAATATTAACATCCACACGAATGTATGATATTGTTATGTTTATTATAAGCTCATGTTGCTGTTTTGTGTGGATTCTGATTGGCTGTCAATGTTTTTATCGTTCATCAGCTGGAAAAAAAAATAGTTTCAACGGTATCGTTCCTCTGTGTCATTTTAGAACGATTTTTAAAACGTTATCTCTATTGTTATAACAATAAAGACTTCCGAACAGTTTATTTCATTTCCACAATTTTGTGTATTAATCTCATTTGCTGTCAGTAAATTGTATTATATGTAAATCAAAATCTCTCTTGATTTCCATATTGGCATTGACCAACTGATGACATCATGTGAAGTGCCGCTGATGATGTCACAGACCTGGAGCTGCGTTTGGTGATGAGCAGCAGGTTATTGAACAGGAACAGGTAGATCGGGTGGTAGAGCTTGCGGCTGCGCATGGTCCTGGTGCTCTTGGGTCCGGACATCTGCTGCACCTCACCCTTCTTCAGGAGCCAGCGAGAGTGAGAAATCACCGGCACCGACTGCAAACAAGAGAAGAGAACTGCACTTAATGGGCCTATAAAGATGAGGGTTGTAAGAGTTTCACTCTGAGACACGAGTAAAGGGCTCTTGTAACAATTAAAGGGATAATTCACACAAAAATTATATTCAGGTGATCATTTACTCTCCATCATATTGTTGCAAACCCAAATGACTGTTTTACATGGAACAAAAAAAGGAGATATGTTCACATTGCTAATTTTTATAGAATGAAAATGCATGGCAATGAATTCAAGAGGTGTTTTTAATGTCACTACGTTTGACATTAATATACCAAATGCCATTGATTCTTATATGTATCATAACTGAATGAGATACATCATGTTTGAGTCAACAAATGCAAATAAAAGCTAGAAAATATTTTTAGCGCACAATGACTTACATTTTATTCCATTACAGTAATCACATACAGCTATTACCGCATTTTCAACAAATATGTTGCATCTGAATAGTCAAACTGGGTCAACATTTGCATTGTTGTGCATTGCTGAGAAAAAAAAATGCATTGGTGTATAAGTCACATTTTATCATTGCATTTTGAAATAATGCTAAATACTGATAAATAAAACTAAACATTTACTAACATTCGAAACAGTACACTGAAAAAATTTGGTGTAGGATTTCATTTGAAACAATTTTCACTCAAAATTGCTAGAAAACGTCACAAATAATTACAAAGAAACAACAAGTAACATTGAATTAAATGTGACATTTTGAAGTTGAAAGACTGAAAAGGTATTTTCTTGTAAAACATTTTTATTTATTTTTTTACACCTTCAAATTATTATTATTGTTTTTGTTTTGTTTTTTACAACGTATTAACATATTTTATGGCTTTTTTTTTGTCTTTTTCCACACTTGACAGTCACCAGTCCCTATTAAATGTCATGCTATGCAAAAGAGCAGCTTCTTCTAAACATCTCCTTTTGTGTTCAACGGAAGAAAGTAAGTCATACGGGTTTGGAATGACATGAATAAATGACATTTTGGGGTAAACTGTTCCTTTTAGTACAGCAGAAGAGTGCATTCTGGGATATGGCACAACATCTTTAGTCTTTTAGTACCTTCGACTTGAATTCAAGTGTTTTCTCGATGCTGATCAGCTCTTCAGTGCGACTCATCTTCCTCACTCCTTCATTGCACTCCTTCACAATCTGAGAGACACAAACACACACCCACATCTGCATTAATATCGCCACATGTGGGGATTTCCCATCCACTTCTATTTTAATGAAGAGCTAATTATAAGTACTCTACACTAACCCACATATTCACCCTAACCTTGAAATACAACTTTAGGTATTTTTAGATACAAATTAGACTCTTATTAAACTCATTTCCTTGTGGAATCGTCTCTCGTTCATCAGGTTTTACTATTAGAAAAACATACTCCCACACACAAGAACAAGTCTGACTACATAACACTTTTACGTTTCACTCTAACTTGGAGTTCAACAAATCTTTATAATTGAGCAAACTGCAGATGACCTCTGGGACATAAACTTTGCCTTGAGGTCTTCGGAGTCGGTTTTTATTGAGAGCCACTGTCTTGATTGTGTTAATGACAGATCAGAATCATAAGTTTGATCAGTAAAAACATTTTGCATCTTCATCGAATTCATAAAACAAAAAGTGTTGTAAAGTCATATACAAAACTACCACACCAAAATAGCAGCATCCTTAACAGTTAAAGGTAGTCAGGCATCTGTACACATGATGCCTTTCTATTTATCGTATGCTATTTTATCAACTAGTGGTAAATGATGCACTTTTTGTTGATAATTATTTAATTAGTGTAGCGATTATGTATTTCCTGTAAACAACCACAACAAAGCACCACATGGATCCATTTTTGCATTATGATTGTTGCCATAACAACAAATAATTTGAGTCCGAGGACTTGAATAGCAGTTGAATCACAATGACGTTAATTCCAACATAAACATTTAAAAATGTTTAAAGAAAATAATTCAGAACAAAAGCAGCATTCTACCTCACAGCTGTTAAAGTCAGTGACAAAAGGTGTGGCGCGGTAACCTTGGTAACAGGAACAACAGGGTGAGACATTGAGACATTGACAGGTGAAAGTCCAGAGACAATGAGACACAGTAATAACAAAGCTCATTACCACACCCTGGAATCAAAATACACACACACACAAACATACACTTACCCTTTCCAACTCTTGATGAGCTAATATTGCAGTCTTTTCGCTCTCGGAATTTTCTTCCACCTTCTTCAGAATATTCTGGAACAAAAAGAAGCAGTTTTGATAAAGAGACAGACAGACTTATGCTACTGAGCTAATTCTAAGACATTTGATTGGCCGACTCATTCCTTACGCAAGTTATTCGAGACTTCTAATTGGCTGACGCTTTACCTGAACAAGTAGTTTGAGTCGCGTGATTCGCTGGAAGGGGAGGATGAGGAAGGAGGTAAACGAGAGGCCCTTCACTTTCGGCTGATTCTCCAAAATGGCAATATTCTCTCGAAAAAGAGCATTTTCTTGTCTGAAAAACACATACAGACATTTATGTATACGTGTGTTAATGCAAATATAGCCTGTAATTGTAAAACAAAGAGGCAGTGATAGGCAAGTTACACAAAAAGTAGCTAGCTAAAATACACACTACTCTACAGAACAAAAAAAGCTTTTGAAATAAAGTCAAAAAACAACTAACATAGTATTTAAGAGAGTTTGCATATATTAGACAAGTAAAGTTACCTACATCCAAGCTGCAAACAAGCACATAGATCATAATGCACAATGCTTGTCCCTTAAACCTTGATTTACTAAAAAGAAGTGACTCTTGAAAATGAATAAATCGTTCTTTCCTGATTCATTAAAAAAAAGAACTGATTCAAAAGATTTCTGAATCAGACACCGCTTGTTCTGATTCTAAACAGCCAAATGACTGTATCTATATTGCTTAAATAATAATGTTAATCAACATTACTTAGTTGATTTGAACAAACTTTTTCTACTTGGATGCATTACTACTTTGTCACTACTTTTACATAATGCTTCAAATCATGCTGTTTGTTGGGGAAAGGTGTGCTCACTTTCTCCTGGCAGACAACATAGTTTTATTTAATTGCTGTCAGATGAAACTGCTTTGCATATTGCTGTTAGATTAATTATAATCATAAATCTTGACATCCAGATTAGTCATATTAAACTGCATTCACAGTCCACAACCAAAAGTAAAACCGCAAAGAAAGTTGGAAATGTATCACTCCAAAATAATTTGCATAAATGCACATTTTAATTTCAGTTAGTGTCATGTTCACCTGAGACGTGGGATGCTACTACTTACTGAGGACAGTACTTTATACTGCTTACTATAAAAAAAACTCACGTGTGTCATTTTTAAATTTAGTTTTGTATAAAAGTGTCTAAACTTAAGGCAGTCCAAACAAATATTGGGTAACTGACGAGATTTGTAAAAGTTGTGGCTGATTTTCCTTCTGATTCCTTCAACACACATCGAATGGAAGGTCAAGTAGGACACACATTGCATTGTGGGATACATTATTCTGCGTAGTGTGCTTCTGATCTGTTATATACAGCATATTGACTCTGATTTTGCCAAAACTACTAGGTCATTCTGTGCAAAACAGAAACTTTGGATAGTGTGAATAGCATATATACTGCAGAGATAGCATGACTAGAATTTTAGCATGACATACAGCATTTGTTCCATACATAGCCTGATATTTCACACAGATTTTTGACAAATATGTGCAGTTTAGCCTCTTTTCCAGCAGGTGGCCTATAAATAAAGCGGCTCAGAATGAATTTCAGCAATGCACTATGATTGCACAAGAGAAATGGTGTTTGGACAGCAGAATTTGCTTTAAACTTCTTATTATGTGTGTGTGTGTGTGTGTGTGAAATAATAGGTTTTATTGTTATAAATATAAATACAATTAGTATTTAGTAAGAAATTGCCTCTAGGACAGCACAATGAACTACTTGAAATGAACTTAACTAGGTCTCAATGAAGGAAGATGGTTTATGAGGTTAGAGTTTATCTTTATGAACCTGTGTGGTTTAAAAACAACAAAACACCATTGTTTCTGGTGCACCTACCTAGCTGTTGTTATGAACGTAAAGCACACACACACACAGACTGGTTTTAACCCTAATCTTAAAAGGAACGGAAAGCACTGAAACTCCCAGAAAGTCCCAAGAGCTTTGCACGGCTCACAAACCCAAACAAATGAAAGCACCTACACAAACCCTTACACAACAAATCAGAAGCCAGCGAGAAATGAAGCCTCAGGCTAGAATCCAGGTAGACAGCTGGTCTGTGGATACACTGAACATGCATGCAGAGCTGATTTACACAGCAAACGCACATTACTGTCCCTCCCTGTCTTGAAAATACCCGACATTTACTATTGTAAAGCTATTGTATGACTTGGGACATGATGTATGAGTTGCATGAAACACTTTTACGCTTTGAATAATCCAGCTTTTGAGTTCTATGCAAGAAAATATGGGTTTGGGACAGCATTAAAAATGGTCACGGGGGTAAACTATCACTTTAATAAATGTAAAGTGTCATGGAATTTCACTAAGTGAAGGAAGCGTGGGAAGACTGCAGGTGACACATTGATGCATTGCAGTTGTTGTTCCTTGTATGAGCCACACCCACCAGTCAAGTCCAGTCACTGTGTCACATTTAATTACAAGTCATCATATACAACGTCACGCGTTTCCGTTACGACACAAACAAGGAAATACGTACAAAGGCAAAGAAAGCATTTCGGACCAGAATTGATCTGTATGTTAGTTTAGTTGTTCACCAGACAAATTTAGCTGGTTGATCAGCATGCTCTTTCTGGTGAAGCTGGTTAACCAAGTAACTCTTTTTAACTAAAGATTAACTGGTAACATTTTACAATAAGGTCTTATTTGTTAGCACTAGTTAATGCATTAGCTAACATGAACTAACAATATATTTTTGCAGCATTTATTAACCTTTGTTAGTTGAATGTTAGTTAATAAAAATGTTTGTTACTTTATGCATTAACTAATGTTAACAAATACAACTTTTCATTTTAATAATGTATTTGTAAATGTTGAACTTAACATCACAAATAAATGCTATGTAAGTAAGTATTGTTCATGTTAACTAATATACTGATATGAAACCACATTGTAAAGTGTTACCGATTAACTAAATTTTAACTAATAGATATAACAATAGTTTCACCAGTTGATTAGTCACAGTAAATGAAGACAATTGTTTTGCATTACACGCTTAAATATGTTATGCTTAAATATGCAAATGAGACATTGTCTAATTAAATGAAGAGTTCAGATGCAAAAGCCTCTAAGTACATCTGACGTTTTTCTTTAAAATGAGCTTTTCTTTCTGGCTACTATGTATAGGTTTCTATGTAAGTACTGGTATTTCTGAATGGGTTGAGGCTGGGATTTAGTGCATTTGAAGTGAAAGTACTTGATAAACATATACTATGTGTGGAGAGCAATCACTCAGTATTGTTATCTCATTTTTGACCAAGATGGCTTTTAGAGGCTTTTGCATTGGAACTCTTCAAATATGCACTAATTTGCAGAAAATTCCAGAACGCCAATTTGAACATTGGATGAAGTCAGGTTCAAAATTCTTGTTTAATTAGAGTTAAAGGTTTTTACAGAGAGGACAGAAAATACCGTCAACAGCTAGAAAAAAAGTGCTTTTTACCAAGTTTTCTGGGAATAAATTGTTCTATAAATCAGACGAATGATATATAAACAAACCCCTCTGTAAAAATCCTCAGGATAAACATTGCAATGAAGTGTAGTGTACGTAAGTGCTACTGAAGTGGAGATTTCTGGTTTACTGCATGAGAATAAAACTCATTTTAAGAAAAAGGCCTTTAAAATATATGTATTGTAATTGAAATCTACAGACACAAATAGAGAAAGTGCATTAAAATAAACACTTAAATTGTATTTTGGATGTTTTCTATATACTATACTCTATACTCTGAAAGACGACACATTATGTAAGCAAAATAGCCCAAAATCTCAAAACTGACCAGCTATAGATGTATTTGCGTTCACATACTTTCGTAGTATATATTTTGTGACTGTAAGGTGATTATTTTGGAATGGCACACCAAAATTGTCCCTCCTACCTGACTGAAATTGGCATATCTGACCTCTAATTACTAAATATTTCCCCTTTTTTCATATGCACAGGTAAGAAATTTTCTTACAGTATCCGTCTGTAGTTCTTCTCCTGGTACGCCTGGTTGATGACGTAGCTGATGAAGACTTGGAAGTGGTTAACAGCGTGAATATGAACAATGTCGCACACGTCTGAGATCAGGATGGACTCTTCGATCCTGTGTTCCAGATCCATGAGGAACCTGAGGAAAATATGAGGTCATCACTGTTGGCAACAATATTATGGCTATGTGACATTTTGTATACGCAATTAAGATATGTACTTCAGTAGCAATGGGGAAAGTACATACTGTTTACGTATTGTTTATGTTTGCATGTAAGTGTTAGCATCCATATAATATATGCAAGCTTAACTGAAAAAGCTTGCATGGGCAATAACTTCGAAAATCCACTATCATTAGTTTACATCTGGCCAATTTTGTTTAGTGCCGCTAGTGATGCAGAAATTAAACATTTCTCTTTACAGAAACGTTAGCTTGAGCTCATTAGCTTAGCTGTGCACCAACAAGCACATCTTATAAAAGAAAGAAAGTCAAATCAATCTTGTATTCCAATGTTCACTGTACAAGAGCAGGTTTGGAAGAGTCGAGCTTTTCCTGACTCATGCGCATGAATCATTGCATTAGTGGGTGGATTTGCATGCTATAAAGCTAGCTGACTGGAATCAAATCGCACCAACACTTTAATTTTAGCCTGTGGGCAATAATGGGTATCAGGGTGAATGGGAGGAAGTTTCACTTCTGAAATATGATTGACGCATGATTATGTGAAGTTTATTAATACTGATTGCTACGTGAGACAAAACTAGTTTAAACTACATAAGAATTTAGAAGGCTATTTATTAGATTACTAAAGGCAGATGTCATAATATGTGACTACACATAGAAAACACAAAAAAAAAATTATAAAATGTATTTTTAAAATATATTTAAAATATAAATAAATTAATATACTAATAATTAATTAACTAATAATAAATACATTAGGCCTACTAATATTCAAAACAGATATATTTTAGAAAATGTTATAAATATGTTTTTTTTGTTTGAAATACATAAATTACTAAATATTTTCAAGATATATTTTTTTGTCTTTTTTTTTTTTTTTTGTATATTTATATAAAATGTGTCTTCACAATATATTTTGGAAATGTATTTTGATTTAAAAATATATATATAAAATTAATACAATGTACAAAAATAAATACATTTGAGCAATTATTATTATTATATTTGTTTTTTTGTATATTTATATAAAATATTTTTTAAATATATTTGGAACATACTGTATATTTTGAATTACATTATTACTGTAACTGATCGCTGTTAATAATTGACTGATTATTATCTGATAAACTGATTAATCGCATAGGTTCCCCCACAAACACACCTCTCGCTTGCCTTCATGATGTCCTCAATGTTGGAGAACAGGAAGTGCATGTCAGACTGACTCAAGGTGTTGACAAGCAGAGGGTTTCGTAGAAAGTGGGTCTCCAGCAGCTCCAGGCTTTTGTAGTACGACGCCTCAGAGGTCACCAGTTCAAACATGGCCTACAGAAAGAGCCAGAGACACATTCAATTAACGTGCACTGCTATTACCAAGTGTTTTTGCTGTTAGCACATACCGTTCAAAAGTCTGGGGTCAATACAGTTAAAAAAAAAAAAAAAAGAATCATTTTATTCAGCAAGGATGCATTAAATTGATCAAAACTGTCAGTAAATACATTTGCACTGTTTCAAATAAATGCTGTTCTTCTGAACGTTCTAGTCATGACAGAATCCTGAAGAAATGCAACAAGGTTTCCACAAAATATATTAAGCAGCACAGCTGTTTTCAACTGATAATAATAAGAAATGTTTCTTGAGCAGCAAATCAGCATAATGTGACACTGAAGAGTAATGATACTGAAAATTTGGCTTTGCATTACAGCAATAAATTACATTTTAAAATATTCTCAAACAGAAAACAGTTCTTTTAAATTGTAATATTATTTCACAATATTACTGTTTTTACTGTATTTTTATTGAAATAAATGCAGCCGTGGCAAGCATTAGAGACTTTTGAACAGTAGTGTATGTTGCATTTTTATACACTAGTCGATACGAAGCATGTGTCCCACCTCCTGCAGTATGATCTCCTTTGTCTCCAGTGTCTTCAGTAGTCCACTGTCCTTCACAGCCTCCAGGTTTTGCCAGAGGCTCAGTGAATGCATGCTGTTCCTCAGCTGTAGCTGTAAAGCAGGCGCAGCCGAGACCCCTGACCCTGCAGCCGGAAGCCCATCTCTCTGTCGACGCTGCTCGATCTCCTGCTGCTTAGAGGTGTCGCGGTACTCTTGATACAAAACATCTGGGCACAAACACATTATAGCACAGAATGATGATTTGGAACAATATTTTTCACACATTGAGATCTTTTATCACATGTGACAGTATAGATGTTAAAAGCACACTATAGTAAATATATGTTTCTCATTCACATTTCTAAACAACCAATATGGCAGAATGAGCCTCTTACGAATTGACTGAGTTCAACAGCACAGCTGGTCACTTTAAAGTCACTTTAAAGCAAGTCAATGTTGCCATGGACGCTATTTTCTATGTTTTATATAAAGATGGATACATATATAATGCAGTGTTTTTTTTTTTAGTATTATGGATATACTATCATAAAACGCATTCATATTTTAAATTGGTTTTTATTTTATATAATCTCAGTTTTCTTTTTAATTTTAATTGAATTTTTAGTCATTTTGCTATGTGCTTTCATCATTTTTATTAGTTTAGCTTTTCTTTATTTTAGTTTTAGTTTTAGTAATTTTAGCATTTTTAACTTCAACTTATTTTATTTCAAATATGTGCCAAGAAAACATGAACCGAGTGAGATGCAGATCAGGAATGAGCTCACATTCACTCACCGGTCTCTACCTGTCTGAGCATCTACATGATAACAGCATGTGCATACTGCATGTGTGTGTGTGTGTGTCTCAAATGTGTGACTTTGTTCAGAGGAAGGCAGTTGCATAATGTCCTGTAGTCACATTCAACAAGACCTTCAGGTGGGTGTTCAGCACAGTCGTTGAAAAGAGATCAGACGAGTGAGAAGAGACGCTGATAGACTTGCAGAGATGAGAATGAATGAAAAAATAACGAGATAAATTTTAAATAGGCATAGCTAAATTTTCATTATTAACACATATTATGAATATGTATTCCTGATTTCTTCTGAAATTTTTTTGCATTTTGTATAATTACATAAAATATATGTTAAACATATTTTGGACATACATTTCATTTTAAAATAAATTACTAAATATATTGAAAACAAATATATTTAACATAATATTATAAATATTATATAAGAATGTTATTTTTTGGACATACAGTACATTGGAAATACATTTAAAATAAAAATATACAAATTAATAAATATATTCAAAACAGATATAATGAATATATACATACATATATATATATATATATATATATATATATATATATAGTAATTAACATGTATTATAAAAATATATTCCTAATTTCTCCTGATATATTTTTGCCATTTTTTATATATTTACATAAAATGTTTTTTTAAATATGTTTTTGCCTTAAATTGTAATTTTTAAATGTATTCAAAAATATATACATTTTAACATATTATGAATATATATTCTTGATTTCTCCTGATTTTTGATTGCTGTACAGGAACTGATGCAGCTACTAAAATGATGAGAAATCATGGGGATGAGAACAAATGTCTTGTTGAAATGATAACAAGACATGACAATAGATAAAACAAAATCAATAGAATAGATGAGAAGATGACAGAGATGAGAAACAACAAGAAAATGGACCACAAAAGACAGGATGAGAACAATAAATGAGACCAAATGAGAAGAGATGAGCAAAGAAATTAGAAGAGCATACAATGGAGAAACAGAAAAAGAAATATAATGTTGACAGAAGAAGCTACAAAAGAAAGAGGAGGAGAACTTAGGAAAGAAGTGGAAAATAAGTGAAGTGATGAAAAGAAAGACTTGGATGCAGATACAGGAGAGAGAAATAGACAGATGATGAGGGAAATAGAGATGATATAAAATTATGTTGCGTTGGCGAAAAAAGCAGATAACTCTCTCTTGCTGTTATTCCAGCATATATTTAAAAAGACATCACCCACACACTCCACCTGCCTTCATCCTACATCCACTAACACACACACATGCGTCTCATACACAACCCAGCACATCCATGCTGTAAATTCAACTGCAAATAAAGTTGCCTACACGGTTCAACTTGAGGCAAATAAATTAGCATGCATTGTTACAGCACATCAGTCTCCCTCTCTTCCTGCATGTGCATGTGTGTGTTTTCACTCACCAACTCTCTTCACAATGTTGAGATTGCGGCAGGAGTTCTCTACTGCCATCTTCTGCGGACTGTCACCATTCCTCACCAGCCTGAAAGAGAAAAAACCCCTAATAATCAGTGACTAGCAGAGATAAGAGGAAACGTGTGTGTGTGGCTATATATTTGTGTGTGTGTACCAAAATGAGAACATGTCAGCCCACTCTCAAAACACCCTACAGCTGTTTTAAGTCCTACTTATGTTTCTAAATGAGGGGAATATTGCTTCCTCACATTTTTAATTCTCATTTAGCTTTATTACATTTTAAACCTGACAGACCTAAATAAGTCAAATCCATCAGCAGAGTCATGTGAGTAGTATTTGATTCATACAGCACATGTGCCCACATGCAAACGACAAACACGAACATACTGTACAAGCTAATGTAAATGCATAAATAAGCCATATACATGCAACTTTGCATAAATATACAAAATACTGCATGCACATATTTTCAAACATGGGTAGATAAAATGACATTCAGTCACTACAAGTATCTGATTTTTGCATAATTATTGTACAATTATTGATTGATTAATATTTTTTTTTTCAGTTACATATATTTAAACATGACATGCAAATACTGTTTATAAATATAAAAAGGCACACAGTCTATGAAGTTATTCAAGTTACACACTAAAAAATTGATTTTAGAAAAATAGATAAAAAAATAAAATGTACAAATGAACTTCTACTCTGTCGGTCTCTCTTACCGGAGCGTGATGTTGTCAGGGTCGGCAGTGGTGTCATTGTCCTGCATAGTGCAGGCACTTGTTGTCCGTTCACTCAGCTCTTCCATTTCTTGTCTACGCGGCCAACCTCCTGGCGTCGCCAACGGAGACCGAGAGCGAACTCCTCCCAGCACAGTAATCCCGTTGCTTGGCAACGACATTCCAGAGCGAGAAGGTGAACTGATAAAAATACATAAATACTGTTAATATTTAAATAATGAGAGGTTTGAAGAAACTCATAGCCTTCTTGAAAGATCAAATCACCACTCAGAGATACGGTGTCCTCTACAAACACACAAGCAGATAGTGAACCTGCATGTTGCTGACCACATGAACACAAACAGAAACAGAGCTAAGCCCAAACACAAAGTCACCCACATACCTTCAGTTCTCAACTCTAAACTCTTCCACCCACACACACAGACAAACATCTCTCATCCTGAGAAAATCATACGATACAGAGTTGAATCATAAATCACAGCAGACGATAACTCACGCACAAACACCTCATCACTATCATAGACAGACAGACACATAGACAGACACATAGACAGGCAGACAGACATATATACAGATATAGATAGATAGATAGATAGATAGATAGATAGATATGTGTTTGTGTGCACTCACTGATGCATTCTGGGAGAGTGTGGAAGTCGATTTGCCGCAGAGGGGCTGAGCCTGTTGTAGGAGGCGGGGTCCATTGCTTGTTTAGGAGAGGAGGAGGGGCCTGATCGAGAGAATGGGAGTGACTTAGGTTAATGAAAAATAAATTAACAGAATAAAATGAGCTTGAACACATGTGAATGGAATAGAACAAAATGGAATTGACCTAAATCCATCTTGCATGACAGTTCCAGAGACAGGCACAGTAAGAGACTACAAAAATGTTTTTATAAGAAGGAAAACAAAGCATCAGAAGTACATATTATATGGTATTAGTGACAAGTAAAACCGATTGTTTGGCTAAAAACTATTGAGATGATGAATCTGACTGCCAGAGAAAGTACTTCATTACAAGCAAAACAACATACTGGTCATTCACTTGTTACCACACACATTCACACAAATACACACTGACACATCAAACACACACACACACTCGTATATAAATACAGAGGGCCCATTGTGAATGCTGGCTGTGCTGCCTGAAACTTTGTGGGCACAGGAATGTGTAACTGGGGCCTCAAATGGAACTTGTGTGTGTGTGTGGCTGCTGAGGTAGTCTGTTCAGTTTCCCCCTGAATTTGTCTCCTCTGCAAATTCTGAAGTCTCACGAACAAAGGATGCATCCGAAATGCTTCATTACCTCCTTACACTGTTTCCCTTAGCTGCTCTCTTGACCAAGCGGCTTTCTGCTCACCCAGTCAGTCTACACGAATGGCAGACGGTCATGTGCTATTTGTGTGTCTGGATCATGAGTTAGGTGTGATCAGGGAGATTGCACAGCATGTTTGTCAGACTCCTTAGATAAATATTGATCCATGCTTCAATAAAACTCTGTTGAGCACTTGACAGACTCTTTAACTGCTATGAATTCCACTGCTGCTTTATAATATTCTGGCCTCTTATATTAGTTGTGAACATAATATGCAAGCAGCATTATTACTATTGTTCAGGGTTGCTTAGGGTTAGGGACTTGAACAAAACTCTAACACCAAGTATTAAACTTGAAAAAATATATTGAAAAAATATATATCCCTCCTTCATTCGGGTTTAAAAAAAAAAACATTTTTTTTTTTTTTGCATTAATATGATTTTATCATATTAAAATATACAATTTTGAATAAAATTAAAAAGTATATAAATATTTACTAATGTTAATAAAAATATAGTTAAAAATATAATTTTAAATTTACCATAAAGTCTGACTAACTTTTTCCAAATTAAACCAGATGAGCATATTTCATTAATATATGCAACAGACTGTTGTCTTGTGTCATGGGAATCTTCATCCAGCAGATCCCAGTTCCTAGTCTATGTGCACTTGATCTGAGGTTCAAACCACACCTGACTGACTAACCAACCTCACGGCTGAGAGTTCAAACTGAGGTCAGCTCAAAGAAGAACTCCTAAAATACAGATTAAAAAACAAGGACAGACTAGATCGGGGTCAGTTTGTCACACCACAATGTGACACTAAAGTTATTTTACGGTCACACTGTACATTGGTTAATAATTTGCTTTAAACCCAGTTTCCAACAGTGTCACCAGATCTGGAGCAGCAATCAACAGTGAATGGGGTTGTTTCCCCAGCGGGCACTGCAATTTGAGAGAAACCGATGATGTATAACAAGTTCAAAAAGTGTGTGTTTTGTATTGTTTGAACAAATCAGCAACACATATGGTACAATGACTACCTATAGTACACGCTATTGCTAGACCAAGAAGTCTAGACATTTTTGAAAAAATAGTCATGTTATGTAACATTCAATACTTCAGATGTGATGCATTACTGCCCTTTTATATAATACATAGTCATATTTTATATAATATACACCACCAATCAAAAGTTAAACACACTTACTTAGTCATTATTATGACTAGTTTGCACATTTTAGAATAATATTCAAAACTATGAAATTATACAAATGGAATAATGTTATGACCGAAAATTCTAAACTATCTTTTATTTTACCTTACATTCTGGACATTCACTAAACATTTACTGGACACTCGGGGTCACACACACACACACACAAATAAATAAATAAAAAATTATATTTGTCTACAAAGCATGAATCATAAAGGTCAAATGTTTCAAGATCGTGAAAAATGCTATTTTATATTTTCAGACTTTTTTGATATTTACTGGTATTGTCAGATTATATATATATATATATATATATA